TCACAGCTCACCACCAAGCCTCCACCCTACTGCACCATTACAAACTACCTGCTCATAAGTTGCTTGTGAAATGCAGGTTGCAGTTTTGCTATCTATATTTGTAAATAACCTTATAGACTCTATCGATCTACCCAGGTCTCCATTCAAAGTTCCATGGTAAGTTGGCGGATTCCCTGGTTAGGCGTTCGTTTATATCGTATACCTACGGTCTCCCCTCCCTCCCCCCTTCCGATATATGGGTCTACGCGTCTGGCATTCTCACTGTAGATCACACCTAATTTTGCACAATCACTGAAACTGCCATATGGACAGATGACTCGGTCTGTTGATGTGCACTCTTTATGTTGAAGCTCGTTTTTAAAAGTTGCTACTTGATGTTGCTGTTAGGGATGTTAACTAACTGAATAACATTTGTGGATACTAACTGAATAACATTTGTGGATAGAGTATGTGGCAATGAAAGAGCACCTGGCCGATTAATCGCCACCAAATCTTTTTGGAGCACCGCCACATCTACTCAAATATGTTTTCAGGCTTGAGCGTTCTTGTGCCCATATATTTGACAGAGGTCTCACCCACAAATCTCCGTGGAATGTTGGGTTCATTGCATCAACTGAATATTACAATATCTATTTTGGTTTCGCAGGCAGGTTTCATGGCATAGATGCATAGGTTCACATCAACTTTCCTATAGAAGATATTTCTTAACTAGCGGAAGCTTACTGGAGTCATTTTCTTGCAAACTGAAGGTCGCCCCAAAGGAATATGCGAAAGGAGCGTAGCTAGGGCGCCCCTCGCCGCCCAGAAGATGTGGGCTCTGAACAATACAGTTAGTGGGAAAGGTCGCTGTGGCCACGCTGGACCCACGCTCCATCAGGCGTCCACCAGTTTAGAGAAATAGTGGCTGTAGGTATGTAGAAGAAGGTGAGAGGGACAAGGCAATCGTGATTTGTTTGCATTAACACGGCGCGGCGATGCGACATTTTTACGGTATGCGGGATCAGAATCTAGGTGTCGATTATCGGATTGAGGAATCCCACCCCCCCACAGGGCTCCAAGCAAAGACCAAAGTCCCAGACGATTAATACGGCCTTTCCCATTCCGTCGACACTCACTGTCAAAGGCACAGTTCGGCGGGACCGCGCAAGTTGCGGGATAACGAACTGAAATGGCAAAAAAGTGCTAAGTATCTGAATAGCGGAGAAAAGCAGCAGAAAAAGCAGTCCGAAATGGTATAGAGAAAGATAACATAGTGGCTACTAGCTAGTAGCTAGCAGCCGGTGAGGGTCGGCATGGGCCTAAGGGGTGTCCATGGGCCTAATTAGTCAGCTTCTAGCGGAGTTCTTGCCGTTTTCCACATTTTGAAAGTAGCGCAGCCTCAAAAATCGCCTTCCGGATCGTCCGACACATTTGAGAGGTCATAGCCTTATTTTATCGCGGAATGTGCCTTTAAGGGACGGGCGCAACAACTTGTCCACTAGGCGCATAGTCGCTTGCCGCCCGCCAGCGGGTCATGTTACGAATGTTTTGACCCATACTTAAAAATATGCGGCCCCACTCTCACCCCATGACGTAACTCATGAATTTTCGATTGAGTTTTTCAGATTCTCGGTTTACCGCAACTTCTTGGTACAGCAGACAGATGGCCGCTCATCTTCTGGTTCACACTCGTACCGGCTATCTTGCAAATCATCACACTGCAAATGGTTCCAGAGTCACCTAAATTCACGCTTTGCGTCAGGAGGAAACGTTGAGAAGGCAACGACCGATCTAGAGAAATTAAGAGGAACGAAAGAAGTGAGCTCTAACCTCCCAAATTTCACTTTACTCATGACTGAACGCTCTTAGTCACACCGACAATGGGTCGATTCATCAGTAGAACATGACTATATTGTCATTATATTTTCAAAGACTATAACGCCCTTTGACCAATCATACCTTCGATATGCCCACCTCATGCGAGTACATGCTGGTTTCTGATTTGCTTTTTATCCGCACCTGCACCTATTGTCGCGTAATCTTACTTTTGCAGGATTATGACCCCTTCGGTCACAAAAAATTAAGAAAACCAATCTATTCATTTAGGTTGGTGCTGAAATTGATGCGATGAAAGAGGAAGCGGCGGCGGCGAAGTCTGCTGCAGCCGAGAAACCTTCAATGGGCGATATGTTCAGGGGATCGCTGAGATGGCCTATGACAATTGCGATCATGTTGATGCTTGCACAGCAACTCTCAGGTAAATCATCGAAGACGTCTTATGGCCGGGCAACTTTCAGCCAAGTTTCTAGTTGCAGCCATTTACGCTGCAGATGCTGGATCGTGTCAGTGGGGGGGGGGGTAGACTGACTTTCCGCGGTAACACACCACGGACTGCTCAAATTTCAGCACCTTGCTTCTTCTTCTCTTGCTCTTCTCCGTCGACTTATCTTGCGATCTCTAAACTATCTCTAGGGGAAAGAACTGCCCTTCTCAAGTACCCTCCGCCCATTTGGGGCGTGTCTGCCCATTTAGTCCGACAATCCCTTGCTAACCCTAATCCACTTTTTCCCCATCTCTGGGCTGCTCTCGAACCAAATTGTGAATTTTGGCCTGCGACAACGCTAACTTTCGGCGCATGCCCCTCCCGTTGTAGACGGGGCTTCGCATAGGTCATGTGCTGTCTTACTTCTTGTCTCATCCCCTACCAATCCCAATCTTGAACCGATCTGTCAAGTCGCTCTTCAGCTAGTACGTACTAGAGGAGAAAATTTCTTAGGAAATCGTGTTTCGCAGAATATTTCCCCGACGGGAGGACGTGGCTTGGCTAGAATTGGAATGCTGTTACAAACTTGTCGATGCTTGACCATTTCACACTTGCTATGTATTCTGGATCAAAGGATCCGCAGTTATTCCCAGAATTCCGTAACAAGCAGACGTGAATAGCGGAAATTTTCTGACTCGAACCCGCATAACTGACCCTGCTCGTACACTGTGCTGCGTTTATACCTAAGCGATTTGAGCCATGCCACTGCGACTGATCACTTCCACCGCTAGTCGTTGGACCACAACAAGTTTCCAAATACCCTCTATCCTGACTGTGACTGAATCATCAGTGGCAACGGCGTAAGGCTTAGCGGTGGAGCAGTAGATTCAGTCGCAGTCGCGCAACTGAATTGCTCTAGTTGTGAACTAAGTCCAATGATTCGTTCCCAGCGCAGTGTTGGAAGATCCTTTACAAATTTCCAACTTCAGAGTTACGTTAGCGACTCACTTTCATAGGTATCAACGCAACGATGTTCTATTCGACCATTATCTTCCAACAAGCCGGTTTAAGCACGCAAGGAGCTGTATATGCTACCATTGCTATGGGTACAGTGAACGTATTGATGACAATTATTTCTGTATGGTTGGTGAGTGGACTTTTACTTTAACACCTAGTATTGGTCCTCCTCGAAGGAAATTGGCACGATCAGTTGACCGTGGACCGTGACCGTGAGGCATACTCCCTGAAGCCTTGAGAGTCTCATGCCGCGCTCTCGAATTACACTCTGTGAACTATCACAAGGTCCTTGGTATGGTCGAGCAGTCAAGAGACTCTCATGTGGAAAAGCTTCTAACCCTGCATATGGTCGATATGATCGCAGACAGTCGGGGCGGAGTCAGGAGGGGAGTAATGAGCTCGCCCCAGGTTGCCTTTCTCTAGCAATGATCGATCCCTTCTGAAACTGCCCCGACTGGTCGCGACAATGAATGACAACCTGGAGAATGTACAGTCGGAATCTCTTCGAAGCGAACCCTAACCCCTACTGCAGCGGTTAAAGGACTCTTGTCAACCGGACATGCTCTCGCTGCGAGGGTCCAGACGTATTTTGTCTTGTCACGAATTGGCCCAGCAGTTGAAGGGAGAAGGCAAAGGAGGAGGGAAGAGAGAAGAAAAGAAGGAAAAGGAAGGAGGAAGAAAGGAGGAGGGAGAAAGGAGATTTCGCGGTTGACCTGACAAGTATCCTGAGACGACTAACACCCACTCTTCCGTCTGCCACATCGCCGATGGATAATGGCTGATGCTCTCAGTCAGCTGATTTCTGATGTGTTTGGCTTCTGAAAGCTGAAATTATACTTCGGTCGACTTCACTGAAGTGTATTTACCGAGACCAGATTTCATGTTTGCCACAATTCAGCAGCATGATTGTTCTCTTTGAAAACTTTCCGTCATTCCCTTTTCGCCCCATTTGTTTGAGTTTACCTTGATTTGTCTCCGCTCATGGTCAGTGTAGTTGACTGAAATTAAACACAAAGAAACAGTTTCTGGTAGACATACTTACCTTCTCCTACTGAAAGGCCGTGCGAGAATATATGTTTAGCTGCTAGAAGCTGAAATACAGCAGAAATCAAAGCTGCCTGGGCGGCATCAGCCTTTATCGATCGACGAGTGTCCAGGCGGGGGAGTGAGTAGATGGGCGGGTGTGCGTGTGTGAGCGCAGAGTCGATGTCAGAGAGCGCAGAGGCAGTAATGATAATTGCCCAAGATCTCCGCCTCTTCCACCTCGATACGCAGCCATCCGGTTCGCCGCGAACCTTAGTAGGAGCGCCCTTCGTCCGAAAGAAAATCCGACTATGTGTATACGAGGTTATGAGCGCTTTATCACCAAACAGCATAAGCGGTACCGGGAACATGAATGATTGGTACTCAATAACTTAGACTTGGGTGCAAGTTGTCCCATACCTGGCGGAGAGAATATATCAGAGGCGGCCCAACAGAGACACATCATAAAAACCACAGAAGTAATAAAAACAACCCTTCAGGTGGACCATCCAAAAGCAGGACGTCGACTGTTGTTGATTAGTGGTTTGATTGGCATGTGGCTATCTACGGTACTATTGGTGGTTTGCATTTCGATGAGTATGAGCGGTAACGTAGTTGGCAGCTACGGTGCTATTGCCTTTGTACTGATATTCGTCATATCGTTCGCAGCTGGAGCAGGTATACAACAATATTTCGTTCATTCTTTGAGTATTTAAAGGCAGAATCTCATTGAAAGTGGCATTATGATTTCACCTCAGGGAGGGAGGCAGTTCTACTTGGTGGGTGCAGCGCTTCGCCACGGCTGAGCGTGAGAAACGCTCAACTTTTGCAGAGTTCCAAATAGCGCCTATACCGCAATGGTAAGCGCAGTTCGGCGACGGGGGGGTTTGCACTTTCGTTGCTTCACTAGTTCTGGTTTACAAGTCTCACTCTGGTGAAACCTGTGAACTCTTGTGAAGCTGGAGCAAGCTCGTCAAGCCATCATGGTAAAACCTGTCAACTCGAGAAGAGGCTGTCTAGATGGGTCGACACGTCGATGGGAAGTAGCGAAAGTGCAAAATCCCCCGTCGCCGAACAGCGCCAGAAGAGTGTGTTGGTACGGTCGTCTATTACTTAGCGCATACATATAAAAAAGAAAACATGCAAAAAAGCTACAGAAGCAGAAGTTATAGTATGGAATTCAAAAAGCACGATCGCGCTTAAAAGTGGGTGTGTCAAGAGGCGGGGCTTGAGATCGAATCCATTGTGGTCAAGGGTGGTAGGAGTAGCACCCCTACAAGAGTAACTCGACCCCGGATAGTTTTGCGACATTTGACACAGTGGCAAAAAGTCGTCCACGAGGGACAATGTGAGCCAGCGGTGGCTCATAGCGGACGCATTCGAAAAGACGCCTTGTACCGCGCGCGCTTTGCACCCAAACGCGATTGTCGCCAACGTTTTAGGGTGAAGTCCCTGCAAGAATTCGGTAGATTTTGAAAGCAGAACTAGCGTTCCCATCGGGGTACGCGTATTGTTGCACAATCGTGTTCGCTGCGGTTGCTGGGGCGTGTCATGTGGGGGGGGAGGGAGGAGGAATGGCTGGGTTTAACGCGGTTTGCCCTTCGTTGTCACTTCTTGTCGCTTGCCGCCTCAACAGTTGACGAAGAACGGTCGAGCGTGGCCCTGACCCCCTCCCATCTGACGCCCCAGCATCCTCAACAAGCAAAACTGTGAACCTTGTCACAATGCCAGTTCTTCCCAGTGATTTTCCCTAGCGTGAGGCTCACCCCTTGTATCGACTCGTAACAATCGCAATCCTAAGAAGTTTTACCATCATTATAACTTTGAGTTTTTCGTAGTGAAAGTAACTCATGTCAGGATCAATCCCGTGGTTCTTTGTATCGGAGATTTTCACCTCGAATGCACGTGGTAATGCTAATTCGATTGCAACAATGACTAACTGGGGAGCAAACGTATTGGTCGGCTTATTTTTCCTGCCTATTAAGGTACGTTTTCGAGCTCGATCTTGGTTTTCGACTGCTGTTGCAAGCATTTCAGAAATTCAGATCTCCCAAAAAAGCATGCCTTCTATCTGATCTGACCTGTAGCTGCCGAATAAACTCTGGTACTAGACGCTACAGCTCGCAGAAAGCGCCAGGCTATGTTCATAATCCGCTACTGGAATGACCTAGTCATGCATTTTAGGATGGTGCGATTTGAGAACGCGCTCCGCGGGTACTCGTTGGAGCACTGCAACTGCTCTTCCAATCACATTCAAAACAGAACTTCTTTCGAAAGGCACATCGTTGTATCTCCCCAACAGGGAGGGGGGTCGTATTTGATCACTGAGTGAGGGGAGTCGTATTTCCCTTCTGACTCTGACCTTTTGGGAGAGGTTGCTGACTTTTCACGGTTTTTCCCGTTTCTGTTTTACCCGTTTTTTTCCGCTATTCATCCTCCACTGCTCTCGACAGCTTGATGAGCAGGGAATCAGGGGGTCGTGCCATTCCCCTAAAAAAGGGAGGGGTCGTACGGACTCGACCGAATTCCCCACCCAATGATGTACCCTGTTCAATCCGCCGCTTGAGACTCGCGTCTGAATTACCGGTTGATTGATTGGTTCCAATAAGGGTGAGCGCACGCTTGTTTCGGCAAAGATCCACCGGGTAGTGGTCCGCTGTGTAGGTGCCTGTTCCAGCGTGATGAGAGGCATCGTCATGTAACTGGCGGGTGGTATTCAGAGGCGATGTGGGAGCTTGTAAGGATGTGTCATAGATGGTTGAAAGGTTTCGTGACAAGAAGAAATCGGTATCTGGTCTGGCCGCGCTGACAATCGTGGCGAGGACGGCGCCGCGAGAGACGACAGTTCTCCGCACTAACGGCCATTCGAAATATGAATTGTTACAAGGAAGGGGAAAGGGTGTCTATTCAGTCTGAAGCGCGCCAGTGGTGAACATCGTTGGCGCGACCGCACGATTTCTACTAACGCATAAGTATACTGAAAGTGTTTTAATGCCGCTATGGTGGACCATGACACAATCTAGACAATGTATACGGAAATGGTCAAAACACGGGAAAGTTGCAGCGAAAATACTGAAAAAAAAATGGACTCGATTCCCCGGCGAGTTTCGGCTGCTCCAATCGAGAAAACTGATCGCACGAGTTTGGATTTCGCGCGCCGACGACTTTCCGCGTTGACGCTTACATTGAGAATTTCCCGCGCTCATCGCCAACGGTGCGCCGCGCGCGACGACGCGGCAAGTAACGATTTATTTGTCCAGGTCGCTTATCCGGATCGCTTCGGCTAATGCCGTTTAGACTCCAGCAATTTCGGCACCGAGCTCATTTTTAAATTGCCTAAGTCACCAAACCCGCTGAAAACATGTACACAAGGGTTATTTACCATCGTGATTACAATTATGACACTCATTCTTGGCGCTGGCGCCAAGGGATGACACTACGATTACCTCTTGGGCTCAGCCTTAGCAGAGCGCAGATAATCGTAGTGTCATCCATTAGCGCCAGCGGCAAGAGTGAATGTCATATTCGTAATCAGGATGTTAAACTACCCCTAAATACAAGTTTTTAGCGGATTTGGTGACTTAGGCAATTTAAAAATGAGCTCGGTGCCGAAATTGCTGGAGTCCAAACGGCATTAGCCGATCGCTTCAACGCGCCCCTTGCATCGCGAAGCCTACACACGCTTTGGCGCTGAGGGCACTAATTACTCTTCCACCTGAAAAATATACCCGAAATATTTGGCCAATTTATTGGACCCTCTTCATTCAACACACCCTGTACTATTACTTTATCGAATTACAGAATGTGATACAGCAGTACGTATTCCTTATTTTCACTGCATTCTTGACCTACTTCATATTCTTCGTATATAAAATACGTGCCTGAAACGAAAGGTAAAACATTGAGGAAATCACTGCCGAACTCGAGAAAAAATAAAGGTAAGCTTGTATTCCCAGTTTTTCCCAGTTTTCTAGTTTTCCCCAAAGCCATGTTGAAGGTGAGAATCACACCGGGCTGTGAATGGGGTGATTTGGGGCGAATATCCTAGTCATTGGGTGGCATATACAGTTCGCTGATAAGCATGAGCGCGCACTTTTGGGAGGGCGGGATGAGGGAGGGTGAGGGGGGGGGCAATTGAGGCATGGACTGTGTTCAGCGCGCGGTCGCTCCCGGTGAGAAGCGGTCCAAGCGAGTTCACGCCGGAGCACCGATTCAAAGTGACTGCTAAACCAACGAAACCCAGCGAGGTGAATGAAAATCGCATGGTTTTTGGCGCCATTTAGCCTTTCTTATCGGTCTATCCTTCCGTGGCCGCATGGCGGAGACTGCGCAGTCAAAGTCAGTAGGCACGATAAGTTGCTTCTCTGCAGAAGACGGGAGCAGGGGGAGGGGCACTGAATAATACGACATTAAAGCAAAACGAGACGAAAACAGCTGAAGCCCGAAACAGGGTCCTTGTTAACGGCTCAATCAGGTTGTGTAACGAGGTGGACCTGAGATAAATCATCCATGGTCGAAAATCAGTGTGGAAAAACGCTGTTTGTATGCTACTTATGAGTCCAATCCACCTCATAGAAAGATTCAGCGGGTGGGCGAAGTTTTCCCACAGTGGGCTGGGCTTAATCGTAGTGATTGGAGCGGGGTGTGCAAGAAGAAAATTTCTCAAGAAATCACAAATGCTAAAGAAACGGGCGGAGTTTGACCGTAGTGGGCGGAGCTTGTATGATGTACTGTAAGTATGTACGTCCTGTATTGGTGTAATTGAAGCTCTTAAATTGACAAAAAAATCACACCATAAAATTATTTCAACCTTTTATTTCAGCATTTTGAGCAGTAAAATCTCTCATTGGCTTATAGCCCTGGACCCGCCCCAGATCGCCCCGCCCACAGGCACTGCATGATATCCGTGTTGAAGCAGCCAACTGCATGTTGTCTTGTCGATTTTACACCAGCCGTACCTCACCGATTCTGAACCTTTTCAGATTGCTGTATGTGCTTCAAATCGCTGATAGTTCATAGAATTTCCGTCGTGCTCTGGTGAACGTCTTGCATAAAGATAAAGCATGTTCGTTCTGTGTCCGAGCCCAGTTCACTCCCCATTTTGTCCATATTTGTGTAGATATTCCCTCGCATACAGTAGTTTTCCTTAGTAACTGTCAGCTCCCTGTGGTCTATGTCCCTTTTTTGATTCACATAAAATGCATTCTTTGCAGTGATAAAGTTTTATTATGGAATCACCAAAGCTTCAAAGTTTTGCCTGCAGGCGATCGGCAACAACAGGCGTACTTGAGGTTTCCGTCAGCGTCATCCATGCATTCGATATCACCACTTTACCAGTTTCTTTAACCTGAAATTGAGAGCTTTTCATCATCTGAGCAGTTTGTGGATATCTGCTGCGCGCGGGTTCCGCAAAGCGGCTTTTTGTTGGGGCATGTGAAATAGTTGTTTTGACCGTAGTTGAATGATTTGCATGTGTTCCTGTGTGTCCTTCCCGTTTTTGGTGGTTAGCTGGTTAGCTTCTACACAGTGAAGTCGCCCCTCGTACTGTTGTGTGTGCCGCTGCGCAACCGCGCGCGCGCGTCGAAACGCCGTGCAGCCGCTATGTGGCCGGGCTTCTTCTCCTATCAAATAGTCGGGCGCGAACCTTCTAAATGTACGAAAAACAGGCAGCGTACCTTCCGTTTGGAAAATGATTCGATTTCCGTCGCTTCGCATGATTTCCGTCGCAAGCGTCTTGTCCAGGTATGTACCGTGATGAAATCGTACCTTAAACGCTCTTCCATTATAAGTCGCATGTGTTGTCCATATGTGATGCTCACCTTGAGTGCTTTGAATCTCGTGGCGTCATTTTCTGCCCATCCACTTATAACATGACGAGCAGCGAATCCCATAGAGCAAAGGCCGTGTAGGATTGGCTGTTTGAATCCTGACATCTAATGGAGGGTTTAATCTTATAAAATTAAATGATAAAGGATACGGAAAGGTCTTACGGTGGCAAATGTCGGATCAATATGAAGTGGATTGAGATCGCCAGAGCCCATTCGGTACAAGGTTGCCTAAAAGATCGGCTGTTTCAAGATTTCTCATTGCACGGATGTGGTCAGGAGATCTATTGGGGCGGCGATGCGCCGGAAGCTACTGCGACCACGTAAGTGTCTCAGTCACTTAACTCTGCTCACTGCATTATATGCAAGGTATACTCGAAATCCCTGTGATCTGGTAGGCGTGGCTGCCTACTTGATTTTAAAATGGCGGCGGCCCAGGTTTTCGTGAGATATTGCCTTTTCGGAGCAGTCGTAGTTATGTCTACGTCTAAAACAGAACAAGATAGCAGCTGTTTCAAATTAAAGTATCCCCAGTGAGAAACCTCGTCCCCTGTGCGCATGCTTAAGAAGCGCACACCTACTCCGCTCTCAGGATAAGGAGTGTACATGATGCAGGAATGCTGGAACGCGTGGCATTGGTCACAGTCTTCCCCTTCCCGCCCCCAACAGATTTTTCCCAACAGATTTCCCTCTTCCACTTCGATCCGCTGGAAGTCGTCAGCGGTCAACTACCAGAATCACCATCGAAATAGTAGCTGTACAGTGATTCTGCGACGCCGCTAGCGATGGGGGTGAGATCGAGCCGAGCTCGAGTCCTCTTACGCACCCCTTGGCTACAGCACTGAAGTAACTAGGGGTAAATTTTCCATTAGGCAATTTTTCACCCGTTACCCCGTGATTCCAAGAAGACGAGAATTGTCAAAATCTAGCTGGCGCATTATGGACACAGCTGCTGTATGGGACATCTTCGACTTAGCCCTAACCTCGTTGTGCCATTCCCCGGGAGATACGAGTGCTAGCTCCAAGTTCAGTGTCAAAACACACTTTGGTGAGCAATACCTAAAGGGTGGGGGTCATATTGGAGTTATTGAAGAGGTTGTTCACCGAATTCACTGATGGGAGTGCACAATAAGAAGGTGGGGTAAGAAGAGGAGCGTGAATTCCACCGTTTATAGTGCAGAACCTGTCCTCTAACCCTATCCCTCCCCAGTTCCGTTTCCCATTTCGGCGGGTTTGCTCTGGAATTCAGAGATGCTAAGGAAGCGGTCGATGGAGGTCCCCAGGGTAAGTATTCTTTCCTGCCCCTGATGTCGTGCCTAGAGTTCGCGTTCCAATCAAAACAACTGCTCCTCCAACAGATACAGATGATCAGTGGTCCGTTCACCACCGTTCATCGCGAAACCAAAATCGACTCGACCGATATCGCCTACTCAACCAACGAAAACCTCTGAACGTACATAAGAAATCGCCATCGGCTCACCTGGTCAACAGAGGTCTTCTCTTCGAATACAGCATCTGGTTGTCGGGTTGGTATTTCGGCCGCTGGTTTTTCATGTGAGCTAGTTCTGGGACCACCGAATTTGCCCGAGCCCACTTGGAAGGTACAGACTTGCTGCATTGCCAGCTTTTTGCCGGTGGCGTTGTCATAAGTGGTGACTGGAAAGGAATAGTAGTCATGACTTTGAATACAAGTTAAGCATCGCACAAACGCACGGGTGAAGGTTTCGGGACCCTACAAGGAAGGATCACTTCCCATACGGGTGTTTTTCCAAAGAAGACGACGTGATTAAAATTTCGGCGTTGTTCGACTTGGAGGGGGCATTTTGCTGGCTCCATCGGCTAATGTTTATTCTGCTACAGTTTCCAAAGCTACTGTAAACTCTTGTGAGAATATGTTATAGCACGAGCTTTCTTTACAGTTGACAAGAGTTCACGGGTTTCACCAAGGTGTGACATGTAAGTTTACAGAAATTACAGTAGCTCTGGAAACTGTAGCAGAATAAACTAGCGAACTAGGAGCATGCCCCTCCCCAAACGGAAGAAAGCCAAAGTTTTACCTAGCTGTTCAGTGGGTCCAGATCTCCAAATGAGACTCACCTTCGGATAGGATTAATGCACCAGAGCCCTTGTCAAGGATGTCGACAACGCGCGCTTCTGAGCGCAGTTTTGCTTCCGACGGCAATGGCCCGTACACTTCAATGTACTGCTCTCCGTGCAAAATTCGTGCCAAGTCAAACTCGATACCTGAAGATTCTTACTAGGAATTTTCATTACTAATCAACCGAATTACTAGGAATTTTCATTACTAATCAACCGAAGCACGAGGAAGGATTGAGTTGGCTTAAGGCTGTTCGTTCCAAGAGAAATTGTGGACCCCTTCACCAATTACTTGAGTGGTAGGTTTTCTTCTTTGTAAAGGGGGACCGGACCGTAATTGCAGGGGCTGTCCCACTTGCAAGGTTCACGCTGATTGAGGAGGGCATTACCGCCATCATAAGCCCAAACGCCATTCGTAGAGAGTGCCTCACCTACCTGGGAAGAAGTAAGCTAGCGGGCCTAAACGCTGGTGTGACGCGGTGTGTTCCTTCTGTAGGGGTCCGTCTCTCTTCTTCCAGCACATTTCCCTCAATCCTCATCCTCTCTCTAGTTATTCGCGTTTATTGGGATACTCTTCTAACACTCCATCTTTACTCGAGGGTTCTTCGACGATTCTGTTTACTCTTCTTTACTGATAAGTCAACTAGCACCTTGCAATTCATATTAGGGTCCCAACGCCTAGGAATTATAATCGCGGTGTGTGCCTTTAAGTCCACAAATTGATCTGCGGGAAATATGTGTAACAGCACTGGCTCTCGAATAAATATATACTCGAAATCCCTGAGATCGGGTAGGCGTGGCTGCATTTTTCAACTTAACCTGAAGGATTCTATGCATCTGGTGAGATATTTTCATCTTGACACAATTGTTGTCGTGTCTCTGTCCAACACAGAACAAGATGACAGTTGTCCCAGACTGGAATCCACGAGTAACCAGTTCCGTGCCATGTTCAAATGCCACGCCTACTCTGGCTCAGGGATAAGGGAGTGTAATTATTAATTCTAGATTACTATATAGATGAATTTTCAAAAAGATGGATACCTGGCCAGTCCATGATACCAGCAGCTTTAAGGCCCGGTGCTACGATGAAAGTTGGTAACGGTACAAAATCCTCGGCCATTTCGTAGACATACCGGAGGTCGGTCTTTGTCTGAGCGCCAACTGAAAATACAACGGACTTCAGAGCTTCCGATCAGATCTGAGAGTTGGAGAAGAGGTCCCTGGTCGGTTTGTCCCTAGTCGGCTATTTTATTAGAATCCAGTAGTTTTTGGTGCAAAGACACCTTCTGCCATTTCAAAAGACTCCCTGATGTAGCGTTAAAGGCAAAGCCACCATTTCTATTTCCTCTAAGTGCGTGCTTGACCATAAGCAAGGTATTCGTCAGTCTCACCTCCTAGAGCATAGATGATTGCATCCCGTGACGTATACTCGAAATATTCCGGTGCTGGAACATGAGCCTTTGCGGCTGTGGGGTCCATTTCTGGAATGTAAAGCGATATCACAGAAACCACGATTTTGGTAAAGACGCGAGTGTTAAAGAAAGATTTCACGATAACGGGATGGGCGGAGACTCACAACCGTTGCATCTTCTTTATTGGTGCGGTGCTTGTTCTCATACCGTGAAGAGAAGGAAGCTTCACTGAGGAAAGCGCAGCAGTTAGCTTCAGCACCACAATCAATCAACTAGTCTCCGCCGACTTTCTTTAGCCTATTTGATCATTGCAGAATAAGTCCTTAAGCCTTTTTAGTACTCAAAGGCGGTATTGGCAACGCGACCGCACTCGCGGGACGCCCCGCCTAAATGAGTTGTAAGCTTTGGCTGGCTTATGCAACCAAAGCTGATAGGGAAATTTTGACCCAGGGAGGAAAAAATCCACTAAGGGAACCAGGGGTGACAGATACTCGGAAAAGAGTTCCGACTGGAAGATCCGCTAGTTTACAGAGGAGTTGAATGTATACTAGTAATGACGAGCATTTAGATGCAATAGTTCGTCGGATAGCGCTGCTCGGCTTGGGAGAGGCATTTTGCACTTTCACAAGTTCCTTTTCCTATTTCATGCCAACTGACAAGTCTCGCTTTGGCTAGAAATGTAAATGCTCAAGAAGCTGAGAATTTGTTGAGTATCGGTTGATGACCCTCCCAAGCCGAACTGCGCTGGGAACGAAGAGTTTAGCTTGCTTTCCCATACATTTTCTTTAATTTTTCTTTATTGGGAGCGCATTTTGGAACTAGTTTGTGCGGAGAACGCGAGGTTGCAAGACGAAAGAGGAACTTCCGCTCAAGTCCAAAGAAAGAATCCCGGGACGTTATCATTTCCCAAACTAGATTGGTATACCCTTACCCATCATTAATGGGGGCGGAGTATGGGGCGGCGCGTCGTAAACCCCTTTTTCAAGCAAGACACACGGTTAATGGAGAGCAAACGACCTTGGCCGCGCTGCCCATACCAGACTGCTTTAGCGCCCTTTTCCAGACCTTCTCAGTAGAAGGAATGTTTTTCGTTGTTTCAAAAGCTTTGGTTGCTGGGCACCAACGCATCGAATTGTGATATTTTATAAAGCGATCCTAAACGTAAGAGACCAGAAACATATTTAAAGTACTTCCGTAGCAAGGGGGGATATTACATGTAAACACAACAAAATGCTCAAACCAATAGTTATGGATTTTCTGCGACGGCCTTAATATGTTCGATTCATAGAAAGCATAAAAAACAACTGAACCTAGTGCGTGCCAGTAGTGGCGCGTTGTCGATAACGGAGTGTACCATATCGACCGTACAAGTGTCTTATCAATTGACCATACTACGCTGTAGCCAGTAGTTAGGTCAGCTGAGCGTGTCGAATGATAGCAAGCAAAGATCGCAAGGACGCTGGAAATGATACCGATGACGTCATTGGATAGTTACGAGTTTCTACTGGTAGGCATGCGTATTCCTTAAAGCACCTTCCGCGATAAAATAAGGCTATGACCTCTCAAATGTGATCCGGAAGGCGATTTTTGAGGCTGCGCTACTTTCAAAATGTGAAAAACGGCAAGAACTCCGCTAGAAGCTGACTAATTAGGCCCATGGACACCCCTTAGGCCCATGCCGACCCTCACCGGCTGCTAGCTACTAGCTAGTAGCCACTATGTTATCTTTCTCTATAACATTTCGGACTGCTTTTTCTGCTGCTTTTCTCCGCTAATCAGATACTTAGCACTTTTTTGTGCCTATTTGAGTTCCGTTTCCCGCAATTTGCGGTCGCGAACTGTGCCTTTAAATTCATAAGGCAATAATTGGCACAAGGCATAATGCGATAATTTGATACTCGGTCTAAAATGGCAGCAGGGGTGTTTTGTTGTGAAAAAACGGCAAAAAAAGCGAAGTGAGCGGTCAAAAACCTGCAGAAGAAGGCTTTCGTTGTACACGACTGAGTAAGCGGTTTCGAACGAGTTTACCGTTGGCATCGTGCCAGTAGCCGGTACGGTAGGTACTGCTGCACGTATGTGCTTATATATCCATGCAGAACCGCAGCCGCTCATCAGTTTCTTTGCTTCGTATTGCCTTCGCAGATGAAGCGATACGAGCATCAGATAGGGTCGTCCATTTGCTGGCAGGCGGGCGTGGTGAGCGTTCGGGTCGGAATGTTGCACTTTGATAGGGCGGTGCAAGGATACCTTTCTTGAAGAAAGGCGCCACGCAGCGCCTGCTTGGGAGCGCCAAGTTCTATCCTGCTAGGCGTGTTAATCCCACCGTCTTCGCGATTTATGCACACTTGCCGTTAAGTCCTCTTCTCATAAGATCCAAATCACCAGTGCGGGTCGCGTTTTTCTCAACACGTTTGCCAAAGCTCTGTTTTAGAGTTGTATGGCAACTGAGCTGCAGCCGTTTCTGCTGCGGACGCTGGTCTCGTCAAGGAGCTGGGTCTGGAGTAAGAGTTCTTGAAGTGGGCAAGCTTTCATTGGTGGAATCTGCAGCGAAGACGACTATAACTGGGGATAGATTCGTTTGGTAGCTGATCAGTCAGTCTGTAGAATACGAATGCGCAGTGCTTACCGTTTCTTAATATGCAGCGTTGGGGGCAGGAAGAGCCATTTGGCTCCTGGCGCGCTCCACTGAACATTACGTATAGGGTAACGAGGTGCATGGGAGACCCAAGGTACGGTATCACTGTATAACTTGGATCTTCTTTTTTTTTAAGCGAGAGCTGGCCCTCTACAGTTAACAGAAGATGGAGGCATATGTCAAGCGTTGAGCTCAAAAAGGCCCGCAATATTTGCGTCAACCTAAAACAGTTTGCCTGATTTTCAGGATCACTAGTGGGCAACCTTATGAAGACTGTCGGTTTGGTGGGTATAAGGCATTGGACGCTCTGCCTTTCGGCAGTATCCCTATTATTCGGGATCTATTCATGACCCGACCCTACAAGATGACCATTTAGCGCCCTGGGATCCCATACACGCTTTTTTCGACATATTCTGAAGATATCGGGCCTGAGACCGGAATGATGTCAATGTCAAGTGCGTTCATTTTCCTTGTGATTCGTGCAGAATGGTGGGGATAGCATGTCCGTGTGCCGTTTTCCTTTTTCCCTACCAGTATCTTGAAATCCCTGGCTAGAAAGTAAAGCTCGTATGTCCTCTAACCATCTCAGTTCCTGGCAAGATCAGCTCATCTGGGTGTCAGTCAAGATTCCGGAACTTAATCTGGATGCATGGCGCATCCCTGAAAGATTTAGCAACGCCGAGCATTTGACGCTTTTGTCGTTCTCCTTTACTGGGTGGGCGAGTGAGAAATTCTGAGGAGAGCCATGCAACATAGGTATATTCCAAGGAGCATAGTGGGAAGGGGGGGGGGCGTCGATTCTCTGGTCCCCAGCTCACCCTGTATGAATCATGAATGCGTAGTTCTGTCCTAAAATTGATTGCCTTATTGCAGGCTCGAGAGAATGTTCATCCCACCCTCCTGAGATTCGAGAATTTTCGACAAAAATCGACTGTGCGATCGGAGCCATCAAATGATCTCCATTGTCCACTAGCTCTCATGGGGGGGGGGGGGTCTCAAATCGAGAGCCTACACGAAAAGTAAATAACTAGGGAACGTTACCACCTTACATGACAGCTTTGCAATAAGCAGACTTGAGAGACTCCGAGAAATCTTAACATTTTTCAGGGTAATGTAAAGATCATTATCGACTATCGATGAGACCGTAATCGGCAGAGCCCGCCTGAAAGTGGGCATTTGGCGTCACTTTTTATCGACAGTCTTTCGCTCGATGGGTGGAGGGTGGTCGTCCTTCTTATCCCTTTCCTCTACTTTCATTCTATCCTTCTGTCCCTTTGAATTCTATCCTACTTTCATTCTATCCTACTGTCCCTATTTTTCATTCCTGTTGAATAGAGCTACCGTTTCCGTGTTCTTGCTTCCCGTGCCATTTTGTCCTTCCAATACTTTTTTGCTTTTCAGCCATGAAACGACGAAAGGGTATGCAAGTTCCACACATGTGAAATCCAGTGGTGGTACCCGTGAAGCGCCGGATCTTCAGCCGTCTGCTGTAAGTGATGCCTTCGGTTTGTCCATTTTTTTGTATCACTGAGTACGAGTCAGCGATCCTAACTGGATAGGACCTTTCAGGGCACATCTTTGTTGGGGAATCCCCAATAGGGGGGGGGGTCGTATTTGGCCGCCAGTGAAAAGGAGGGGTTCGTATTTGGGCTGGTAAAAAAATTTATTTGTCAGTAAAATGATTCTTGTCTTTCACGGGACGGTGTGTTAAAGGGGAGGGGGGTCGTATCAGTTATTGTGAGAAGAGGGGAGTCGTAATTTACGGTTTTGGCCGTTTTGGCGAGTTGTAGAAGGCAGTGGATGACTTTTTGTGATTTTGGCCTAGTTTGATTGCGTGAGCTATTCGAGTATATGCCCGCCTCGTTGGGTCGTTGATGGGTTGGTCGGCCCCACCCGCCCCGCGCCCCCGACCTTCGCGCCGACAGCGAAATTTTTGGAAAGAGATCGTGTGAGGATGTTTTCGCTTGGAGAAAGTTTGGTGCAGAAAGTGAGTCAGGAAGTTGGGACATATCGAGAATTGGGCTAGAAAGGAGGGGGGGGTTGTATTGTCCTCGGCGCGGCATTTGTCGCTTTGTCAACGCAGCGCTAGTAGTTCTCGCGCGCCCGCCCTTCGCTCGAGACGGCTCAATTCGATGAAGGAGGGAATGAAGAGGGCTGGGAAGAGGGCGCGGGTGGGGGGAGTTTGGTAAGACTTGCTTCTTTGCTTCTCTCCCGTATTGCGTTGAGATTCCCGTCTGCCGTCGCAGGGTCGCGCTGTCTTATTGCGTGTCATCGCTCTTACTTTGTTCCGATCTCATGCGGGAATTTCTGCTGTTGGCTTCACTTGCGAAGTGAGGCCCTTCTTGATGACGTCCCTTCCATCTCTTCTTTGTTGGGCTCCTTCGTGTCGCGTTGCCCTCAGTTACCTGCCGTAATTCCCAATGCCGTTTTGG